ATTTTTGTTGTTGTTCTAGGGATTGAACTCAGGGCTTTCATGCTGAGCTACACCCCTAGCCCTTTTTTATTTTTATTTTGAGACAGTGTCTCAGTAAGTTGCTAAATTGCCCAGGCTGGGCTTGACCTTGTGATCCTCCTGTCTCAGCCTCTCAGAGTGCTAAGATTTCAGGGAGGTACCACCATGCCCAGCTTCACTTGCTCTAAAGTGATGGAAACAGTTTTTAGCCCCACTCAGCTTCATGTCCAAAGTGAGCAGTGTTCCCCAGGCCGGGCAGCTCATCTTCCGTACATTTAGCGTACTTCCAGCAGAGGGGAAGGTTGCTATTTCTGCTGCATGTGAAGCACTCTGTACCATCTGGGCTGGCTGGATTTCAACGGAGACAGTAAAGAAACATTTATCAAGAAAAATCAAAGATGGTCTTGCCAAGTGTGGTCTAGAGAGATTTGCTTTCTTGATACATTGTGGCTCTCACTGCTGGGTGACATGACTTGACTTTGAAAAGCCTCACGAGGGCCAGGTCTTTGGAGCAAGCCTGCCACTGCTGTCAGCTGCTAAGATGATGTGACACAGTGGTTTTGGTAGTTGGAGTTTGGAGACGTGAATACCAACAGTTCCAGAATCAGCTCCCATCCACTCTTTCCAACTGAATTTTTTTGCCCCCTTTCGTAGGTAGGGAATAGACTCAAATGAACAGAGGTAGAAAAAAGCCCTGGAAGAGTGAGGGGAGAGGAAGTCATGCCTCAATCAGGAATGACTGGCACAAGAAGGAGTAAATGCCTAAGGAAAGGAAATTCTTTTTTTAATATCACATTTTTCCTAATGTATGTCTTAGTTATTTCCTGGTTGCTGGGACACAATTCTCACCAGCCACAACTTAGGAAGGAGAGGTTCATTGGCCCATGTTTCAGTCCGTAGTCAGCTGCTCCAAGGCAGAAAGGCCTGGCAGAGAAGCTGCTCACAGTGTGGCTGACAGGAAGCAGAGAATAAGGGAGGGGCGGGGGCGGGAGACGAGCCTTCCGGAAGGCCAGGCCCCCGACCCACCCCTCGGGTCAGGCTCCACCCCCTGATGTCTCATTCAGCTACGAACTCATCAGTGGACTCATCCACTAAGGAGCATCGCATACCCATGATCTGGTCACCTCCCAGAACCCCCAGCTCTGACCGCACGAAGCTTCAGAGGCATACTTAGATAGGAACCATAACAGTATATGTTTATGATATAAAATAAATACATTCATTAGGAGGAATTGGTACATGTGCATATCGCATCTTGATTCTTTCTACTTCCCCTCCCCTCTCCCCCATTTCCCCATCCCCAAATCCACTTCCCGTCTCCATAAAATCTGTTTCTTATCATCTGTCTTTTATTTTGCTCTTTAAAGTATTTAATTTGATTTAATTTTTTGGTTTTTTGAGACAGGATCTCACTTTGTAGTTCAGGCTGGCCCTGAACTCACTATGTAACCCAGACTGGCCTCAAACTCAGAGTGATCCTCCGGCCTCAGCCTCCTGAGTGCTAGGATTACAGGCGTGTGCCACCATGCCTGGCTTTTTAAAGTATTTATTTGGGTTTCTCATAGAAGAGAAACCATGTGATATTTAGCCTTCTGTCTGATTTATTTCACTTAGCATTATGGTCCAGCTCAAGGTGCATCAATTTTCCTACAAATGACTCAAATTTATGGCCGATTAGTACTCCATTAGGTATAAATGCCACACTTTCTTTATCCATTTGTCTGTTGATGGACAGAGAGGCCACTTCCAAGATCTAGCTATTGTGAGTTGTGCTGCTGTAAACATGAATGTGCACGTAATATGATGTCTTTAAGTCTCTCAGGAAGATGCCTAGAAGTACAGTTGAGTCAAATGGAATCTGTATTTTTAGTCTTCTGAGGCATCTCTATATAGATTTCCAAAGTCATCGCACCAGTTTATATTCCCACCAAAAATGTAGAAAGGTTCCTTTTCCCCCACAACCTCACTGGCATTTGTTGTCTTTTGAGTCTGTGATGATAGCCATTGGAAGAGGACCTTCTTCCCCAGCTGATCTGGAGATGGCAGCCTTGGCACGAAGCACTCTACTGTCCTTCAGCAAGGCCTGGGGAACCCTAAACTTCCAAGACAAGACTTCTCCCCAGGGATTCTCTGTGTGGCATTTGCTCATCAGACAAGGAGGCAAGGAGTGTCCTCAACAGAAACAAGAAAGAGGAGCAGTTTTCACTTGCCTGCGTTGCCAGTCAACCAGACCGACAAGTTTCTGGCACTTCAGCATCTCCAATCATGTTTTTACGGAGGGAGCTCACTGTGTGATAGAAGTGTCATCCCCAGACTAGAAACTGGCACATGCTATTTTCCTTGGAAAGCTCAAGAAATGAGAGCAAATAACAGTTGGGGATTGTACTCTGTGGGGAAAATGCTCTGGTATCCTAAGAAAGCATCACTCTACAGAGCAGCATTACTCAGTGTATGCTCTGTGGGCCAGCAGCTTCAACCTCACATGGAATCTTGTTAGCAAAGCAAACGAACAGACCCCAGCCAGACCGAGAGCATCAGCATCCATGTGTGTGTGTGGGGGGGGGCAGGAATCTCTCTCAGTCCCTTAGGCATTCGAAGGGTTGAGAAGCACTGTTCTGGAAGAATTCAAATGGGAAGACTGAATACCCTGTTCTCAAGAAGAAAGAGCACAGGTGGTTCTATCTTATACTGATCATTTGGAAATGGTTAAGCATTTGGAATAGAAATAGGCAAATGTAGTTAAAGAAGGCAGTGGATAGTAATGATGAACAGCAGTAAGAGAGCTAGCATTTATTGAGTATTTTCTTAGGTTCCGGATTCTGTGCTAAACATGTCAGTTTTACTTTTTAGCAGCCAATTATTGTGCAAGAAAGTGAGGTTTAAATACGAGAGGCAACTGCTAGGTAAAATGTCCACCCCAGTGTCTTGGAGCCCTGTACCCAGGACACTATGCAGTCTGTCCGGGATTAGAACTCTCTAGATGTCTTCCTTCCTGCCTTCCTTTCCTCTCTCTCTCTCTCTTTCTCTCTCTCTCTCTCTCTCTGCCTCCCTCCCTACCTCCTTTCCTCCCTTCCTTCCTTCTCTCGGCAATTGTCAGCTGCTTAGGGTTTTGTCAGATAAGTAAGATAACTAAGATGGAAAGAAACAGGGGCAACAGAGTTGAGAGTGTTTTCCAGGGAGTAATTATAATGCACAAAGTTTAAACTGGGGGTAAATGGAGAACAAACAAGAGGGGATGGGAATTTAGAGAGTGTATGTATATGTTGGGCGCAGTGGATGGACTGATGGAGCGGACTTTTTGCAGGGGGTAATAGAGTTAATGAACTAGGAAATAGGAAGTGACATGCTAGAGAGATATGTGATGTCTAATTTAGGGGATGAAATGCTCCAGGATGTGACCATGGGAGGTGATGACTGAAAATTAGAGGAAGTGAGCTGGTGCTTTATTCCGCTTTCTAATTTTCTGTCTTTTCTGTGTTTGTCTTGCCATCTTGAACTAGTATAATTCCCGTTTTCATTGTCTTATTGCACTGGTGGCTCATTTAGAAAAAGCTGTTGAATAATGGCTGTGGTAATGGGTATCTTTGTCTTATTCCCAACTTTAATGGGATTGCGTTTATTACAAACTGTGGCACTGTTATTTCACATATCCTGGATCCCATTAAGAAATTTCATTGCTATTTTCACATGACTGCAATGATCTTACGGTTTTCTCCTTTCACCTACAAATTGATGAATATATTAATAATAGATTTGCAAAGGTTGAATCATCTTTGCATTTCTGGTTGGAGTCATTATATATTTAACTTCTAGTAGATAGTTTGATTTGTTTTGGATTGAATGCATTACCTGGGATTTTTCTACTGTAAGTGAGATGGTTCACTTTGTATCCTTAAGATCTGTACACCTCTCATTTTCTAGTTGCCTTTCCCGGACATCTTACATCCCTGGCTTTTGAAATGACTCTGATTAATCTTTCCCTCTTTCTCTAGGCTGATGTTTTATTCTACCGCATCCTTTCCATGGCTGGTTGCATTTTTAATGCTGGTCCTCCACTTCCTTTCCTTCCCTAAGCCAGACAGAGGAAGAAGTCTTGCTACAATTCTGCCAGTATTTTTCCTGCCTTCTCTCTCTGGACTGTCAGGGTGCTGGTTAGCAGGTGCACCTTGATTTGGCTGGCAGCTCGAATTTGTTTTTAGCTTTTTGTTTCTGAATTGAGGTAAAATTCACATCACATAAAATTAACCATTAACTTTTTAAAGTGTCAAGTGTGGCGGCATTTAGTACTTTCACAGTGTTGTGCAGTCATCATCTCTATCTCGAATAAAGTTCCAGCACCCCTAAAACACTGTACTCAAAAGCAGTAGCTCCCCCTTCTCCCTCTGCCCTCAGCCTGGGGTAACTACTAGTTTGCTATATGTCTCTGTGGATTTACCTCTTTGGGAAATTTCATGTAAATAGAATCATATAATTGGTGACTTTTTGTGTCTGGTACATATATGTTCACAGTGACACTATTCCCAATAGTCAAAAAGTAGAAATAACACAAGTGTCGATCCACAGATGAGTGTATAAGCAAAATGTCATCGATTTGTACAGTGGGATATTATTGAGCCTGCAAAGGGAATGAAGAGGTGATCCGTGCTGTCACATGGGCCTTGGGAACATTATGCTAAGTGGAAGAAGCCAGTCTTTCTGTGGGCTTTGTAGAAGACAAGCTTAGCAAACTCACAGTTATTCTTGGGTGTGGTGTAGGAAGAGCAAAATGGAATCAGAAATCACTTTGTAGCCAGTGTACAACAGAATCTACATGTTATGAGCTTATCCTCTTTGTACACCCCTAGCTGTTGATATTAATAAAAGTAAAATTCCCAGGAAGCAAGTGTGGGGCCAGGGACCCTGCCTGCTGTGTGTTCTGCAGACGCTACTGCTTGGGAAACATTTTGGGCACTGTTAATGTTAGAACTTCTTTTCCTTTTCAGTAAGAGATGCGAAAAACCTGGTTCCCATGGACCCCAATGGCCTGTCGGATCCCTATGTAAAACTGAAACTGATTCCTGATCCCAAAAGTGAGAGCAAGCAGAAAACCAAAACCATCAAGTGCTCCCTCAACCCTGAGTGGAACGAGACATTTCGATTGTAAGTTGACGTCTCGGTGGCCCAGCGTGGAAGGGAGAGGCGGATGTGGGATACCGGAAACTGGGGGTTCCTCTCTCCTTGCCTTCTGTGTCCTTCCCTCCTTCTTCCCCTGCCTTGTTGCCTCCCTCCCTCATTCCTTCCTTCCTTTTTATCTCTTCTATCTGCATCTTTTTGGTGTTGTGAGCCAAGCAAAAATTCAAACATATTTTTAAAATAGAGTTCAGAAGGCCTGTGATGTGAGGCGTGCGTGGGATGGGAATAGCGCAATGTGTTGCTAGGTGAAGTTGTGGGACTTAACCAACAGTGCGATATACCTGCAGGGTGTGGTGACAACCTCTCTAGGGCTCAGTTTGGGGGGTAATGCTGGGTCTTCAGACTGCGGGAGATCTCCATTAGCTTCCCTGGCCAGTGCCCCAAAATGTGGGCCAACAAGTCTGGCGTTAATTACAACAGCTGATATTTATTAAGCATATACTATGCCTAACACACACAAGTTAAGCGATCTAAATGCATGGGCGTGTAGAGGTTCTGTAGCAAACCTGAGGTGCAGTGGGCTTCAGGACAGTCTGACAGCAGAGCCCCTGCTGCAGTCACAGGGGAAAGCGCGTGACTCTGGATAGCCCCATTTCCCAGAGCACACTAGGAACTGTCTCAGCTTTAATCAGGTGCCTCAGACCAGACAGTTTCCCTACACACTGCTTCAGCCTCGACCCACACATGTGCAAATACACACGCACACCCCCAGTGATGTAACCTCTATCTGTATTCAGTAGATTCCTGAACACTGCGGACCCTATTAAGACAGACAGCAGAAGCAGGGGCTGCTCCTGTCGGACTGGCCTAGGTCCTCCTCCTGTGCGAGCCACAGGCTGTCAGACAGGAAAAACTCCTGTCTCTGGGGAATGGAAACCTCCCATGTTTCTCAAAGCAGCTTGTAAGGTTTAAAAATTTCTACCTCCAGGTCTCGTCCTCTTGTACATTTCATCTGCTTGAGAAGTCACCACGGCCTCTGCTGCCTTCTCTTTTTTCTCTCTTCCAGTCAGCTGAAAGAGTCAGACAAAGACAGACGACTGTCCGTGGAGATTTGGGATTGGGATCTGACCAGCAGGAATGACTTCATGGGGTCTTTGTCCTTCGGGATTTCTGAGCTGCAGAAGGCTGGTGTTGATGGATGGTAAGAAAGATCTGGCTTTGGGAACTACAATACAATTCAGTCCAGCCGGCACGGGATCGAGTACGTCTTCCTTTTCTTCCTGAAAGTGAAACATGAAAGCAGTCCCACAGTGAGGGCTGGTAGTTTGGGTCAGCCTCACAGACATGCCTGACTTGATCCTTCTACTTACACAGGAATAATAAGCTGCCAGCATTTTAGAAACCTGAGGCTACAAGGAAACAGTTGAGACCAGCTGAATAGCGAATGCCCCATCAGACAAGACGTGGTTTTCCATTTGTTGCGGTCCTCACTGCTCCCTGCTTGTCACATTTGCCCTACTTGACACCATTAGGTGATTTGACTGGCACTAAAGTGGCTCTCAGTTTACCCCAAAGCCCTGAACAATCCATTGTCAGATTTTGGCCTTTTGAGGAGGTGCATCTTCATTGAGAGCTGGCTACAGTCAGCTTCACAGTCAGCTGCAATATTTCCTTTGTTCTGGAATCTTTTCTTTTTATCTCTTTTTCCTTTTCCTTCCTTCCTTCCTTCCTTCCCTGTTGTACTAGGGATTGAACCCAGGACTTTTTCATTATTTTACTTTTTATTTTGAGACAGAGTGTTACTAAGTTTAAATTGCCCAGGCTGGGCTTGAACTCAAGATCAAGATCCCTCCCTCCCTCCCTGCACTACTGTGAACTGAACCCATGGTCTTTGTACTGGACTATAGCTTCATATCTTCAGCCCTTTTTCAACTTTTTATTTTGAGACAGAATCTTGCTAAGTTGCTAAGTTGCTTGGGCTGAGCTTGGACTTGCGAGCCTCCTGCCTCAGCTTCCCAGAGTACTGAGATTCCAGGAGCACCACACACCCAAACACACCTCCGTTTTCTAAAAGTTAACATCTCTGCAGATGTGGGAGACCATCTGGCCCTGATCTGGTTGCGAGTAGTAAGTTAAACAGAAGAATATTGCCGTGAGGAAAGAGAGACCCAATTAGAAAATGCTCTAGCATGACATTAAAAGGTCACCCAATCATCTTTTCCCCAATATTTGGATATTTCTTCCTAACATATGGATAATTTGACTTTGTACTGGATCCCACCTTCATTGACTCACAGATTGGATGTTACTTCCTCTTTAAGTCAAGTTGAAAGAGGTTAAAGACAAAGAAGGCATGATCCCCAGGGGGTAGAAGCAGCTAGGAGAGAACATAATAATAATAATTACAGTAAAGATAGCTACCACTTATTGGCTCTCACTGGATGCCAACGAGCGGGCTGAGCATTCGTACAGCACTCACTAATCAGATGTGCAGAAAAATACGAATTTTTTTCTCTGAAATGGACTCACACTTTGCCATGTAATTCTGTGACCTCGAGATGGCCGGAGAGGGGTCCCTTGTTGCACAAGGCACCTTCTGGGCCCTGCTGTTGCAGAGTGGCCATCCTGCTGGTCCCTGGACTGGTCCCCACTGGCTTTGGGAGCCCTGGTACCCAGCCTGTTGCATTCTACCGAGAGGTCCTTCCACAAGGTCCGCTCTTTGTCCCTGTCCCAGGCCACCACCTGGCCCCATTTTTCTCAGCACTCCCAGGACCCCATGGAGAGCCAAGGGTGCTGGCACAGAGCCCTGAGCCTTTCCCTTCCTCCTGCTGCTGGGAAGGCAGTGTCCTCCGGCTGAAAGCCAACTCCCTGGGGTGCCACCTCATACCTACCTCTCCTGCCCCTCTTGCTTCTCCCAAGACAGAAACACATATCTCAGCCTTCCTTCTGGGCTAGCACCTGAAACAATTTTAAATAATTGTTGGCTTCAAACAGTTGTCTACCCAAACAGTTTTACTGGGAGAACTTTAATAAGCATGCTACATTTAGCTCAGGCGAATAAAAAGAAAATATAAAGGCATAAAAGACCTGGACATCATAATAAGCTGAAGTTCAGCAATGACAGTGGAGAGCAGGGACACAAAAATGGCTAAATGGTAAGGGTTGCTGCCTCAGGGGTAAGTCCAAAACGCGACCACGGTTGCCCTTAGGTCATTGCTGAATTCTCCCAACAGTCCCAGCTGGAGCATCATTTCCAAGAACCAGAGTCGGACAGTGCTGGAGTTTGGGTCCAGGCATCTGTGATGCCAGAGCCGAAGTATATATAGGTCCTGTTCTGTCTCTTGATCTAGGGGTAGGCAGAAGCTGGAGGAAGACCATGGGTCTCCTAACTGGATGGATGTTTTGTGACCTCAGGAACGTCACCTGCCCTCTCTGTGCCGCAGCCCTTTCGGCAGATATCATGCCACCCACCAGATTGGCAAAAAAACCCTCTCCCCGTGCTTAGGATGTTGGTCAAGTTGATGAAATAATAGTTAGTAGGGAACTTTTGCAAAATACAAGCCATCTTCCAGATTTTGCTGATGAAAGATACAGGGTCAAGGGATCTATGATGCTGCCTTTGGCTCTAAATGAATCAAACTTTACAAATCTGGATTCTATTAGCATCATGTGATCTTCAGCAAGTCACGTGTCCTCTCCAAGACTTGGTTTCCCCAGATGTAAGGGGAGGGGCTTCTCTCATTATTCTGTTGTGTGGTACAATTATGCATCATATAATCATGGTACAGCCAGCAACAGTCCTATAAGATTACAGTGGAGACAGGCATGGTGGCATATGCCCATAATCCTAGCACTCTGGGAGGCTGAGGCAGGAGGATCATAAGCTTGAGCCCATCCTGGGCAACTGAATGACTTAGGGAGATCTTTTCTCAAAATAAAAAGTATAAAAGGGCTGGGGACATAGTTTAGTGTGAAGGCCCTGGGTTCAATCCCTAGTACTGGAAAAAGAAAAGATTTCAAAGGAGCTAAAGAATTCCTGTCACCTAGAGATGTCATTCATTCCAGTGTGCTACAATTGCCCGTGCTATTCAGTGCGCTGATGTGCTATCCAGATTGGAAGCCCAGGGACAGCAGGTAGACCACACAGTGCGGGCATGCAGTGGGCTACAGCAGCTAGGTTCAGGTCTGATGGTCATACAGTAAGGACATCATCTAATGACACACCCCTCGGAATGCGTCCTGCTCACTAAGTGTCACATAAATGTAATTTAAGACCACGTGGCAGAGACCGCAGGAGCAGCCATGAGCAGCCCAGATGGGTGTGCCTGCCCCAGGCTCCTCATGTGCCTCTTTACCACCAGCTCTGGCTCTGCTGTCAAATCCTCTTCTCTGTTTCTAATTTTGTTTATTTATGCTGTCTCCTTTTTTCCCTCTTGATTTTCTGGAGGTTCATCTGTTTTACTTATTTATTTTTTTCTTCAAAGAATTAGCTCCAGGAATTGTGTATCAACTCTGCTTGTTTTCTCCTTTTTTGTGGGTTTTACTTTGTACTTGTCTTTGAATTTCAGTCAAATGTTTTGCTCATTTGTCTTTCTTCTTCCACCTTATTCTACACTTTAAAAATAATAAACGAATATTTAAAGGAATAGATATTTCCTCTATGTTTCAATATGTCATGTTCTGCCTGTTTTGTTTCTTTCTCAAGGTGTCTGCAGTTGTCTTAAATTTCCTTTCTATCATTCTCTTAGGCATCTTTTTTAGCTTCTCAAATTAGCTTTTTGTTTAAATTTTTATTACTAATGTTAAATTATAGCTGTGGTATTTTATAGGCAGAGAATATGGCCTGTGTGTTCCTCTTTCTTTTCCTCTTCCTTTTGTTTTCTTTTTTTTTTTCAGTTTAGCTTGGTGAATATTTAATGTTGCTAAATGTTCTGTAAACATGACTGTAAAAATATTAGTCAGGTTTTTGATACTGGGACAAAAACCTCATGTCTGCAACATAAAGGAGCAGTGGTGTAATTAGACTCATGGTTTCAGAAAGTTCAGTCCATGGTTGGCTGGCTCCAAGGCAGGAACATCATGACAGAGAAAAGCTGTTTGTCTCATGGCATCTGGAAAACAGAGCACAGGGAAGAGCCCAAGAGGAGAGGGCCAGGAGCCAGATATAGTCCTCAGGGTCATGACCATATGACCCACCCAATCACACCCAGAATGCACTTAACTAATCTCCCAGGTTTCTCTCCTGGCAACCAAGTTTGTAATCAAGATTAACCATCTCAATCATATTAACCATTTGTAGGGTATACATTTCAACTTTTATTGATTCCACTTTATGATAATGGCCAGATCTTTTATGCCTTTATATTTTGTTTTGTTTGCTTGAGCTAAATGTATAATATTTGTTACACCTTTTCTAGAAAAATCACTTAAAATGTTAGTATTTCTAATTTTTTTGCCTTCTATGTATGCAATATTATTAGCCGTATAACTGTCCAAGCTTTATTACATTAAAATTATCTTTGTTGCAGTTAATATTTTTTCTCTATAGTTTTAGCTTGTTGCTGGCATTCATTCACTCACTCATTTATTCATTGAAAATATATAGCTAGAACCTACTGTGCTAAGATGATACCAGTGAAAAGACAGACTAGAACCTTTGGCTTCTAGAGTTTTCTTTCTAGCTGGAGAAAAAGATAAAACATTTTTAAATGATAAAAAAGGAGTACAACATAGCATGTTTGCAACTGAAAATGCTGTGAAGAAAAGTAAATAAGAAATGGGGATAGGGAATTCTAGGGGAGTGGTAGTCAGATTTAGTTTAGGTTCTCAGGAAAAAGACTCACTGACAACATGACATTAGCAAAGACCTAAAGGTGAACCACGTGGGTAGATAGGGAGAGATTGCCAGACAGAACAGCAAGTGCAAAGGCCCTGAGGCAAGAGTGTTCCTCATGAGTTTGAGGATCTGGAGGAGGACCAGTGAGAGGGCGAGCAGTGACGACTGGATGTGGGTCAGTGGGGTGGCTAAGCATTCCGTGTGGGATGTTGTAAGGACTTTGTCATCTACTCTGAGTAAAAGGGCCAGGGAATTAATGAGATCTCTTTTACCATTTAAGGTCTTCATTTTGATGCAGAGTGGTAGATCCTTCAGCCTACACCCTTGTCTACTCTTTCATGTTAAATCTTTCACAGTCTTTGATC